ATCTCTCTGGGCAACCTGTTCCAGTGTTTCACCACCCTCAGCATAAAAAATTTCTTCCTTATATCTAGTTTAATTCAATAGTGAATTTTGTTGTCAGCAGTGGTGTATCAACTACTCAGACCACAGATATATGAGGTCTGATAGGTATTAGGGACTGGGACTTGAGATTGCAGCAGGACCTTGCTCTCAAGAAGGGATTGGTGCAGCAAGGGATGCCCTTGTGACAGGCATTGCTCAAGTTTGTTGATAAACCCCAAATCCCAAAGTGTGAGTGTGTAGGGATGAGACTTGGTAAAATGTTTAGGCAATAAAGTAAGAACAGGATAAGAAATAAGAATCTCCTGGTCCCCCGATGGGAAGCTTTGTTGTGGGCTTGTTCTTTTGTACACTGGTTTTTCGTGGAAAAAAGTACCGAAACTGGAGGAAGAGAAGGGTGATCTGGGAAACAAAATTAAGTGTTCCCAGCTGGGAACCAGAGGTCTAGGGTGGGAATGTACAGTCCTCCTCTTCCAATAGTGATGAGGCGGGCTTGTTCCCTCTCCAGGGATAAGTAGTCCCATCAGTTATTAAAAAGAACAAGGGGAGGAGAGGGCAGATGGGTCCACCCGAGGGGCTGGCCAAGGCATGTGGCTGGGGGAGTGGGATAGGGGAGTCTAGCTGCTGCTGTGGGGCCTGAGTGGCTGCAATGATATCTCAACCCCTGCTCCTGCACCCTGCTGACATTAGCCAGCCTGGGAGGGAGCACAAACTGCAAAGAGGGGAAGGAGTGGTAATGTGGTTCCTGAAACGCTGGGAGAGGAGAGCTGCAGAGGTAGAATTAGCACTGAGTTATGGTCTCAAGGAGCAAACAGTTGTAACACAAACCAGTGCGCCCTACAGTAGTGTGGTATGGCTTGTGAAAAAGCCAAATGGGGAGTGGTGGCTGATGATGCATAAACAAGACCTGAATGAAGTGACCCTAGCTTTGCCTGTTGCTGTCCTGGATTTGCTTCATATTCAGTATGAACTGGAAACAAAGCAAGCTAGACAGCATGCCACCATGGACAAAGCAAACACCTTCTCCGTTCCCACAATGGAGGAATGCAAACACAGCTTGCTTTCACCTGGTAAGGAATCCAGTACACTGGAAGCAATCACCCCACAGGTAGAAGCATCATCCCACCATTTACTATGGCCTAATTTAAGAGACCCTAGAGGTGGGCGGTACCCCACAACACATGCAAAACATTGAGGACATTGTCCTCTAGGGACAAACACCATAGCTGTGCAATTAGCATTAAAAGTGCCTGAACAGGGAAAGTAGCCCATAGTGTATGTCTACACTGATGGTGGCCAATGCTGTGTGGGGATAGTTAGAATGATGAAAAAACACAGACAGAAGTCAGTGTAAACCTCTCAAGGGAGCAGGCTGATTATAAGGACAGAAGAGTAAGTTAGCATAAATAGCCTGCCAACCACTGTGATAGCTGCAAATGTGTCAGTCACTGCAAAAATCGTGAATTCCCAAGAACCTCCCAGACAGGCAGATTGTGAGTACCAGCGATGGTGATGGCCAGTTGTTAGGTCCCAAGTGACACTGAAGAGGCTGATCAAGAATCAGGTATTCTAGCACTGATGGTATCTGGGGTCACACAGGAGAAACTTTGGTGACAGAAGAGAGAGATGCCTGGGGGAGCCCTTGCCTAGCTCCAGCACCACACACCCCACAGCTAGGACTGCTACACTGACTCCATTCCATCTCTCCAGCAGGACAGGGAGGTTGTGTGAGAAACCACTAGTGTCAGATGCTCAGCTTCTCTACTGGACTGCACTGTCTCTCCCATGGTACAAGGAAGTTGTTTAATTCACAACATTTTGTATAGATATGTGATTGAAACATTTTGGGATCCAAGTTCATATTGTCTCTCCAGTGTCAAATTGATCTTAAAACATGACAGTTTGGTACACAAGCCTACGAAGTAGAAAACCCCTCATCATGAATGGGATTTCAGCCACACATCCAATAATCCATGTAACACAGCTATTAAGACATAAAGAGACAAAGAAGATAGTCAGCAGGATATGTGACTACAGCCTGATGAATGAAATTAATGTAAAGGGAATCCTCAATCTTAGTTTCTCACTCCAGTGTTCATTCATTTGTAGATGTCAGTGATCCCTACAGAGAAAATGTATACCTTCCCCAGAAGCTAGGAAATTGAAGGAATGGAAAATAATAGAATCATCATTTTGTCTCTACCCTTCTAGTTAAAGCACTCTTGTAGGATATGAGAAGTGAAGAATCAAACCTGTAAGCTGAGCCTCAGGTCTTGTCTTGAACTTCTAAGGTAAATGATTCAGAGATACAATTTCTTTATGTAAAAGAAGCTGCTTCCTCTTTTTTCCATCATAAAACATGAAAGCTGAAATGAAAGTAGAATACAAACCCACCGTATGTCATAATTTTAAAACACCTACCAGTGCCTTTTGTTTTTCTTAGATACTCCCTGATTGAAAGGGGCATTGAATCATACTACAATCTCAGTTCCTGACATAGACTATCTGTATTGAGGTCTAAGCTCCTAAGTATTACCAAAGAAAATTGCCCTGGAATAATGTCAGAAAGTTCATCTTGTCAAAAACAAAATTTGATTCTGGTAACTTAAAAGAGCCAGAAAATAATCATAAAATCACAAGATGATTAACATTGGAAAAGACCTGGGGAGGTTTTTCTCCAACCTCCTGCTCCAAGCGGATAAGGTTGGCCAGGGCTTGACCTCCAAGGATAGAGTCTGCACAACCTCTCAGGGCAACCTGCTTCCCTGCCTAACTGTCCTCATGGGGTAAGGGTTTATCCTTATAACTACTCTGAACCTCTCTTGTTTCGATTTATACTCATTGTTACTGGTCCTGCCACCATGCACCACTGTGAAGAGCCTGGCTCTGTCTCCTTGGTGGTGCTGCTCCAGCATATCATATGGTCCCCCTATTAAGTGTCATCTTCAAACTTTATGCTCAAGCCCTCTATTCGCTCCTCTGGCTCACTGACAAAGATGTTGAAAAGAACAGTTCCCAGGATAGACCACTAACGCCTTCAGAGCTTCCTCCCCTGGGATCCCAGTTCTCTGAATAAGCTGAAGTTGTCTTGCCTGAAGTCCAGGATCAGTAAATGGCTTCCTACCTTCCTTGGAGATAAACAGCCCCATCTCAGAATTAAATGGGACTCAGTCCTTATACAATTGGTCTGAGTAAGATACTATGCGTGAGATCCACAAAGAAATTTAGATACTCCTCCTTAACTCTTCAGGTGTTTTAACAGTCTCCTGGGGTCTTGTCTCATGTTGTGCAGTGTCTCTCTCCCATTATCATGAAATGCATAAGCCATTGTAAAACCATAAAACAACTTGAAACACAGGAACATTAATCACTGTAAGAACCCCTAGCTATTTTACTCCCAAAACTTCTCACAGCCTGTGGTTCCCAACTTCCAAGTAAGCATAGCCTATGAACCTTGCTGCAGCCTGGAGATTTCTCAGCCTTCATATTACATTAAGCTTGAATTCAGAAACAGTCCCAGAAAATAGAAATTCTTTGAGAGATATATATTCAGGTTATCATTATCTCAACAGTATTTAAAAAATATATTTGGAACTTGATTCCCAAAGGAAGTCTTTGACTTTGATGGGGTTTGGATCAGTACCTAAGTGAAGAGTCATCTAAATTCAATTCAGCTTTCCAAAGAATTTCAGTGAAATAACATTATAGTAGAAAGATAGGGAGAGTGACAGTCTTTCACTAGTTATCTGAAGAATCAGAACACAGCCAGTGGGAATTAAACCATTAACTTGGGAGAATAGTCTTAATAGAAAGAAAAAAAATCATATAAGTTTTTATTCCCTTAATAAGTACCAAAATGTATATTTTTTCTGAATTATAATTAGAAAGTATAAATATGTTTTTGCATATGGATTTGACATATATGACATCTTCAAAATACATTTTAATGTTTCAAATAAAGGTGAATAGGTAAAAATGCATAATTCATAAACAAGATGCTGTGCCTGTCCCTGTGCAGACTTAAGTGAATCCTGCGGTTGCCTAGTCACAAGTGTGACTGACATATAACTTAATATTTTTTCTGTGGTTCTAGACTATGCCATTAAAAATCCAGGATATTTTAAGGGTTTTTTTTTCTGTTTACCATATAGTAGACACTTGTATTCCTCCAAAACAACAACAAAATCATACAGTTCTCAAAAAACTATTTAAAATAAGTATTATCTCTGAAGTTTGGTAAATTTAAGGGTGAAATTGTTTTTTTAAAGGAAGCTGACCTTTAAATATGATAATTGTTCAGTTGGTCATTGTGTAAATTACTAAAGTGAGCATGTAAGGAAGACAGCTTAACTAAGAAAGCTTCTACTACCTAATATTACACAAACTTAATAGATAATTAAAAGTTTTTTCTTCAGTGATACCTTTGCCTCACATAAAATATGAAAGTCTAAAGTTAAGATTGTGTCAACATTCATAGTAGAGTCAATTTATTCTAAAGAAATTCCCCAGAGACTTAGAATATTTACAGGAAACTGAATATTTACAGGAAACTGGCATACAGATTTACTCAAAGTATATATTAATAGGAAAATTAATTAAAAATATTTAATTAATTATTAGATTTAATTAATGTATTAAAGTGGAAATACAAGGTAAGTTTCTTTTTAGAAACTGAATAACTGAAGTCGTTTTTGTTTTTTTTTTAAATAGGATAATTTTATTTTCTTATTTTTAATTTCAGGTACTATGCACATGATTTGCTTTTTAGGTTTTCATATATTCATTTCTGTTATAGAAAGTTCTCACTTCAGGGATGGAAGATGTTGTGCTGACCATACGTGATGAACTGCATCTCAGCCGCATTACAGATCTCCTGCCACGCCATGCTGGTGGTAAAGCTGGCCTCTGCCTACTCAAGGCTCAGGAAGGAGTCTGAGTCATCTAGTTGCACCCCAAAAATCATCTCAATGGTCAGGGTTTCCTGGGAGGTGTTCATTAGCCTGAGCTTGCAAGGAGCGTGTAGTAGGCAGCGCTGTCAGCTGGCAATGGTGTGACTGAGGCATAACCTTCCAGGTGTCTTTCACCAACATCTGGAACCAGCAGCCAGTTTTCTTGATGTTTAACAAAGAATTGGTACAAAGGGTGTTGAGGAGGCTGGGGTCTTGACTTTTCAGCTCATCCTCATGGTGGTGGAGGAAGCATAGTATGTCCTCCACCAACTGCTCCCTCATGCAAATGCACTGTAGCTGCAAATGGAGGCAGGTGTTGTTGGTCAGCATCTCCTCTGCAGTGTCCAGCTCCAAGTGGGAGGCATGCCCAGGGGGAGGCTTCAGGAGCATGAGCAGGCGGTAGAGGACATTGTCCTCCCAGGCACTCCAACCTTCATAGACACAGCCCATCCCAATGGCTGGCTGTGCCCGTGGCTTGAAGTTACTCCTGGAAAATCTTTGGCAGGCACTAAGAAGCTCATCTACCAGATCCTCCACCAACTTGCACGTGTCAGCCATATATGGCACTGGTCACTGGATGCGATCGGCCAAAAATTTGCCCAGATTACATGTGTCACCGAGTCGTTGTCTTCTTCTACCTCTTCCTCTTCCTCGTCCTCTTGACTTCCAGGGTTGCCCTGCTTGCAGCTACTTTTTGGCTTACAGCTCCTTTTTCTGGTACTCCAGCAGAGCCACAGGAGCAGGACCAGGGCTCCTGTCCCAAGAGCAGAGGCCCAGAACCACCATTGCTGCAAGGAAGCAAGGAGCAGGACTTCTCTAGCCACCCCATTCTGCTGCTGGGTCTGCTCTATATCCTGCAGCAGCTGAGTCATCTTCCAGCTCAGCTGCTCTGCATGCTGCTGCATGAACCTGTGTGTGGCCACATCCAGCTCGTCACCCAACTACAGTGGGTTCTGGACAATGCCCAGCAGAGCTAGGGTGAGGAAGACAATGACAGCCATGGCCTGCAGGAGATGGAAGAAAAGGGGTCTCAATAGGTCTAGGCAGGAGGGAGCTGGCAGTGGGGAGAGCTGCAGGGACCTGGGTGCAGGTAGGAGAGGGGGCGAGGGAACTGGGTGGTACTGTGCCCTGTCCAAGGTGCTCCCCTGAGCAGCTGGACCCTCACTCCAGGGTGAGAAGCCCCCCCAGGAGCTGGTGTTTCTGCCCTGGTCCTTGTCCAGCTCAGCTTCCCCACCGTGTGCGCACTCACACTCATTGCTGACCCAGGCTACACTGCAGCAGCCCTGCCTGCTGGTGCCCCCGGTGACAACCCTATTGTGACACATCCCCTGTGCTGTCACAGGTGTTAGAGATCACAGATCTCCTCTCCTCTCCTCTCCTCTCCTCTCCTCTCCTCTCCCTCTCCTTCCTTTCTTTTACATCTACTTTTCTTCTCCCTTTTCTGTTCCCTTTTTTTCTTCTCCTCTTTTCTGCTCCCTTTTCTTCTCTTTTTTTCTCCCATTTCCTTTCTTCCCCCTATTTCATGGCCTGGTTGACAGAGTCCCTTGGGAGGCAGTTCTGAAGGACAAAGGAGCCCAGGAAGGCTGGACATTCTTCAAGAAGGAAATCTTAAAGGCACAGAAGCAGGCCGTCCCCATGTGCTGAAAGACAAGCCAGCAGGGAAGAAGACCGGCCTGGCTGAACAGAGAGCTTTGACTGGAACTCAGGGGAAAAAAGAGAGTTTATGACCTTTGGAAGAAGGGACAGGCAACTCAGGGAGACTACAAGGATGTCGTGAGGTTATGTAGGGAGAAAATTAGAAGGGCCAAAGTCCCACTAGAACTTAATATGGCTACTGCCATAAAAGCCAATTAAAAATGTTTCTATAAAGACATTAGCAATCAAAGGAGGGCTAAGGAGATTCTCTATCCATTATTGGATGCAGGGGGAAACATAGTGACAAAGGATGAGGACAAGCCTGAGTTGCTTAATGCCTTCTTTGCCTCAGTCTTTAATAGTAAGATCAGTTTTTCTTGGGATACCCAGCCCACTGAGCTGCAAGACAGGGACAGGGAGCAGAATGAAGCCCCCACAATCCAAGGGGAATTGGTTAGCAACCTGCTACACCACTTAGACACACACAAGTCTATGGGGCCAGATGGGATCCACCCAAGGGTATTGCGGGAGCTGGCAGAAGTGCTCACTGAGACACTTTCAATCCTTTATCAGCAGCCCTGGCTAACCTAGGAGGTCCCAATTGACTGAAGGTTAGAAAATGTGACACCTATCAACAAGAAGGGCTGGAAGGAGGATCTGGGGAACTACAGGCTTGTTAGTCTAAACTCGGTGTCAGGGAAGGTTATGGAGCAGATCATCTTGAATGCCATCACACAGCACTGCTGAGAGTTCTACCCAGAGTGTCTTTCCACAAAAAGTATTCAGATTTGAAATTTAAAAACTGGAACACTATTTTGAATTGCAAGAATTACCAGAATTTAGTGTCCTCGAGGAGAGATTAATTCCAACTCTAAACTTCTCCCCGCAAGCCACTATGTCTTAGTTTCCTAATGTCTGCAAGGGAAACTGTATTATTTCATTTCTTTTGAGAAAATGCTAACTTTAAAGATATTGATATGCCATCATAATGGACACTGAAGAAATATCTGTGGTGAATTACAGAGCTTCTGGCAGGCTGACATAACAATTTTCTAACCTTCTGCAAAGGGAAGGACAGGAAGTCTCAGGAACTATTCATTAGAACTTTATTCCTATCAGCATCCAAACATTAGTCCTTTCCTAATGGCGGAGGAAAGCAGTTTCTCATTGTTACATTTGATCAAGGAAAAAGGTGAAGCAGAGTTCACAGAATAAAATAGATGCCTAAAGAAAACATAATATGAAAGAGAAGAAGAAAGAATATGGCACAATTTGAGAGCCTGACTAGGTTAGGACTGCAGTACTGGCTCACTTCAGCTTCATACATTTCTCTTGCATATAGTTTTTGAAAATGAGCTTAGTGGCAGTATTACCAAAGGTCATCTACATTACAACTGGCCAAATTAGTCTCTGAGAATGAAGTTATCTATTCAGTGTAAGCCCATTTTCAACTGCTGAAGACTGAACATTGAATTTTCCAAATGTATGTTTAGGTTTGCTTTTTGGTTAGTCAGAAGAGTCATATTGTATCATTTCTGTCCCTTTCAGGTTAAAAAAATCATAAAGAAAGAAAAAATATACTACACATAAGAAATGTCAGCTAAAAGGCTGTGATTTACCCTAACACGCCTAAGAAAACAAAAGATTTTCAAGGAACTTTCACATCTTCTTGTCTGGTCTGTACACATAAGTTATGGTAGATCTTGTGAACAGACACAGCTTCCTTTGGAAAGTTCAACTTACACATAGAAGCAGGAAAAACAGAAGCTAGAAGGAGTCCATACTCTTCCACTTGTCCATTGATTACTTTTGGAAAGAGACTATCTGTTTTAGGAGACATAATGTCTTTAAACAGAAAAGTGAACCATTTTCTTGTTATGAAGTTCTTTACAGGGCCCTAGATATATCATGTCAGAAGATATCAGATTCAGAAGATATCAAGATTTTCTACCAGTATTTTGAACTGGACAGATGAGAGCAAACTTGAATCCAAGAGCTGTAAACCCACCTTAGATTTATCTTAATATGATCTTAGGCAAAGCTTTACACTAGTGTAGTGCATAGCTTATTTGGCTCCCCCTCCATATCTTTGCTTGTAGATGCCATGTGTTGGAATCTGTATACAAATAAAACCTTTATGTCTTTAATTTTTGTCTTTTTTTTATTATTTCTTCCTGGGAATCCTATATGTTACATTTTGCCTGCATAATTAGATAGCTTTTTAAAAACTGTAATATATATAGGCACATGTGTTTATATATGATACCTCTAATATAAGATATCCCTTTTAAAACTTAGCTGTGGTGGCTAAAAGAAAAAACAACATAAAATCAAGTCTTAGGAACCAAATCTGCCTGGATGATTACATTTTCTCTTTACAACATAACTGAGACACTTTGTTCACTCTTCAGGCCACTGAGGTATACTGAATATTCATTAGAATATGATATATGCAAGGACACTTAGAATATTGCCCCCCCTGGAGACAGTATCTAGTTTAGAAACCTCTAGCATGTTTTAGCAATTCCTCTCAGATTTACATTTTATACTTATGGAGAGACTCATCTATTAATGCATGCCACAGCTGTTTATTGTAGTCACTAGTTTTTCATACTTCCACTCCAAGTGTGAAATAAAAGAGCTGAAATTAATATAATTTACAACAATGTGCACCTTAAACAAGTAACTGTGAGTTTTTTGCTCTGACAGCACACTGCTTTAAAGGACCGTGTTGCTCAACACAATCACTAATTTATTTTTGTGTATACTATATTAATCAATACATGACATTCCTATTAGTTACTAAATTCCAAATGTCAAACAAGTCTGTTTTGATAAATACTTAAATATTTTAGGAAAAAATATTGACTAAGTGACAGACTTATAGATGGTGAATAAAAATGAAATGTTTACTAGTTTTTTGAATAGGGGGAAGAATAATGTATTTGTTGTCACTGCACACCAGCATTTCTCCATAAAGAAACAAATTCTTTGTCCACATCTGAAATCACCTCATCTGTTTTGTAAATATTTATTTTCAACTAAATATATTAAAAATGTTGAGTGTTAAATTGAAGAAAGCAATATGAAAGTGAGGAAAAGTAACAAAGTTAAGTCTGAGATCTTGTCACAGTCTGTTAATGAACTGGATAAACTGAGAGACAGTATCTGTTAGTGAGGCAGAGGATAATATTATAATATATATATTAAAGCATATATTTATGTTTTTCTGCCTTGCAAAAAAGCATACATATCAGACACTGTTAGTGAACTTCTCTAGGTCCTCACCAAGACATAGGCCAAATTCCCTTCTAAATGAATGGGAATCATAGCTGAACAATACCTGTGTAGTGGCAGCAGAACTTGGTATTTTAAGCATTACAGATTAAAACAGTTATAGAATCATAGAATCATAAAATCTCTCAAGTTGGAAGGGACTCATGAGGACCACTGAGTCCAACTCCCTGCTCTTCTCAGGACCACCTAAAACTAAACCATATGACTAAGAGCATCATCCAGATGCTCCTTGAACTCTGGCAGGCTTGGTGTCGTAACCACTTCCCTGGGGAGCCTGTTCCAGTGATGACCAACTACCCTCTCAGTGAAGAACCTTTTCCTAATGTCCAATCTGGACTTCCCCTGATGTAGCTTCATACCATTTCCTCGTGTCCTATTGCTGGCCACCAGAGAGAGGAGATCAGCACTTCCCCCTCCGCCGCACCCCCTTGAGGACGTTGTAGACTGCGATGAGGTCACCCCTCAGCCTTCTCTTCTCCAAGCCCAACAAGCCAAGTGACCTCAGCCGCTCCTCCTAAGTCTTGCCCTCGAGACCTTTCACCACCTTGGTCACCCTACTCTGGACACGCTCTAATAGTTTGATGTCCTTCTTATACTGAGGCGCCCAAAACTGCACACAGTACTCAAGGTGGGGCCGCACCAGTGCAGTGCAGAGTAGGACAATTGCTTCCCTCAACCGGCTAGCTATGCTGTGCTTGATGCACCCCAGGACATGGTTGGCCCTTTTGGCTCCCAAGGCACACTGTTGACTCATATCCAAGTTGCCATCAACCCAAACCCCCAGGGCTCTTTCTGCGGGGCTGCTTTCCAGCCTCTCGTCCCCCATTCTGTATGTATAACCAGGATTACCCCATCCCAGGTGGAGAATCCGGCACTTGGTCTTGTTAAATTTCATATGGTTGGTGATTGCCCAGCTCTCTAGTCTATCCAGATCTCTCTGTAACGCCTCTCTACCCTTAAAGGCGTCCACAGCTCCTCCTGGTTTAGCATCACTGGCAAACTTACATAATGTACATCCAATTCCTGTGTCCAGACCATTTATAAAAACATTGAAAAGAGCACTGGCCCT